TAACTGTTTATTCTTTCTCCTTTGCTTATATAAGCAGTAATTGTTACATGTCACTCATAGCCCTCACTATATTTCCATCATTGCTCCCCATTTAAGCTCCCTAGCTATCCTAGACACAAAATGAATCTCATAGTGTTTTATAGTGAAAAGGCTACATAAAAATGAATAGTACTTAACACATCCTTGTTTTCTTTTCTTCTGTCGCACAAGTGGGGCTCCAGACTGCTATTTGTTGCCATCTACATCTGCTTTCATTCCCTTCTCCAGAGGTCCTTGGACTTTTTTTTATAAATGTGAAAAGAAACATATACATTAGTTGATCTCTAGCAGGCTACTAAAGCATGTGATGAGCTCACAGCAGAGAAGCTGCTATTTTTCTCCATTAGGTGCAGTCAGCAGCTTATGCTGCAGATGTGGCATCATAGTTCTTGTTAGAGTGTGTTAATTCTTCAGTATTTACTTTTGGCTTTGCAAAATTCCATTCTTTACAGTATTTGTGTAGCCTCTTAAGGGATCCCAAACATACTGGCTAAAAATGTTTGCAAATGCCCTGACTTCAGCATATGCTTAGCACATTTCCAAGTGGGCACTGCGCCCTGATGCCACAGCCATGCCAGCCCCCACTGTCACCATACATCCTTGTTATGGCTGAGTGCTACTGGATGTGCCAGAAGAAAGCAACTTAGTCCAAGCCCAGAGAGACTGCTGGTATGGTTTTCTGGAGGGTCTGTCATAGTATACTGTACTGCTTTATCGAGGGCTTCCTCAGTCTCAAACCCCTACTCAGGCAAGCTCTGTTGTGCGAGAGATTTTGTTCACATTGTCTTTGTAGTTCACACTGAAATTCTGCCAGCTTCCCAACAAGAAAAATCTCAGTTTCATGGAGGAGTTGAGAAGATTTGCTCGAAGGAGCAGCCATGGCTATTGCAGATAAACGAACAAGTCCATGGAGCTGGTCAGGTCTGGGGGGCTCAGTGATGGACAGTCCCTAAAAGTTTTGAGGCTAAGATACTAAGCCAAGAATTGTGCCTTGACTGAAACATGTTTTTCTGTATTTATTGTCTGATTTTGTAGTATATGGGGAAAGAATTAAAAACTAATTGTGTTGTTTTAAGCTGTTTGAGGTCATGCAGGTAGGTGCTATTCTGTGTCTTTGTGCTGTCAGTAATATGTAAGACTTTGGAGCAGCTGTTGGAACAAAATGGGAGCTTCATGTGGGAAGAGCTGTTCTAATAAATTAGCAGCCATAAATGACACAACAGAATGAATGAAAGAGAGTTGTATTTTCTGCTGCCTTTCTTGCCTTTCTTCCCACCCCTGTACTGTCATTTGTCATACCCCAGAAGCCCTTCAGTTGCAAAACTAGTGCTGGATCTTAACTTGCTTGAGGAACACCAAATGAGTGCACATTTTAAACAGATCAGCAATGCTGAGGATTAGAGCTACAGCATCAGAGTGCTGTCTGACCAGTTATATCCCCCTGCATATTTTCTGTCATTGCTTGAGTTCTGTGCCTTGACTTATAATTTAGGCTCCCTTTATAGGAAAGAAGTGCAGCTAATGAGTGCTTTTCTGTACTAATGAAATGAAATATTAAAATGGATGTGATCAAATGTCATTTGAGTTGCCTGAAGCTTTGCCATGAGATACTTTTGTGAAAGAGTAGCTGTATTTATCACCTTTAGATTTGCTTGTACAGAGCTCTGAGTGTTGTTTGGCTACTGTGTTTGTTTTTGGTTTTTTGCAATTAACATTTTTAGTGTTCCTTATGGAGGTAGCAGCAGTGGGGATTTTATGCCACCTGTCCCCGTAATCTTAAAAATATTACATGAAGAACTAAATTGAATCAAAATATGTAGAACTAAAATAGTGTAGAGCAAAACAATCTAACTAAATTACTCATAAAATAAAACAAAAAACTACCATGGCAATTTGGCAAGGGAGGGCAAAAGGGAATGGAAAAAAGAAACCAGTATTTTTGAATTATTCTTTCCCATCTGTTATCTGTGTAGCTGACTGGCAAGTTCTCACACCTTCATAAGTGGTCTGTGCAACACCATGTTAGTAGAGTTTTCAGTTGTAATTTTCTTTGCAAGGACAATGGTATGTGTTAAGAACAGATAAGGACCATAGGCCCCCAGTTTTTAAGCAATAGAAGTATTCTACTGTTAGCCTGAAAAAAAAAAAAGTGAGAAATTTAATTTTATGAAGATAGATGGGAGAATAATTTAGTTGTATTCCTCCAATGAGTACCTTTAATTATAGTGTACAGCCCTGCATACCCTCCTTTCTGAAGAACTACAAAGTTTTTAAAAATCCAATTTAAAAGTGCTGTTTTCCTACTGTTGAAAATTCAATTCTGGAATATTCCGCCCCTTGTATCTCTAGGATCTATAAGTTAAAGGGATGGTTATTAAATGTGGTCACAAGCCTCTTAGTGGACAAAAAGCTAATGGAATGATAGGATGAGATGAATGCCTGAACCTGCTGCCTGTGTTATGCTGTGCAGGAGAATAATTGGCTTTCAGTCATGTAAACTAGTTACAGACACTCAGATCCTTTGAACTCTAATAAGAAATGAAATGCACACTTACTTTATATGGTGAGTGACTAAGCATATAAATGTCTTGATCAAGTCATCAGCAAAGAAAAAAAAAAACAAAAAAAACCCAAAACAAACAACCAAACCCCAAACTGAAAAGTAATCTTCTGTTTACATTTTGTTATTTCTGTCTGAAATCTTTATTTTACTCTCTGCATCTTTGCCGTGTAATGTTCCCTGCTGAGAAGGACAGACTGGAAACACAGTAGGGAACTTTACCTTTTAAGTTGCTCTTTGCTTTGCAGAGGACTACATGTTGGCAGTTCCGGTGTATTTGTCCAGTGTTTTGTTTGGTATAAGAGGAACATGACAATCTAAGAAAGGCAGGAAACTATTATTTGGTAATTTTAGCTACATTTCTATTGCAAGTACTAAAAAAGTGGACAGAAGTTTTAATGCATTTCTTAAGGTACCTGTATACAAATCTGTTCAGCTTTTGTGTGCTTCAGTCAGAAAATTCTGAAACAACCTTGGATGAAGGTATAAAAGGATAATTTTGAGTTGAATTTGCCACATGCCTGTTGAATTCACAGGTCATGTTTATCTAAAGTGCTTCTCTAAAATTCTTTTTGTTATCTTTTCTAAAGAGCATATGTAACAGCTCCTGTGGCAAAATCAAGCTGTGGCACATTTTGCAAGCAGAACTAGATTTTCTTCTAATGCAAACTTATGCCCCTTTGTCAAAATCAAAGCTTTGCATGCTAATTAGCTCTGCCAAATAATTTAGCTTCCATCCACTGGGGTATTTTTTAGCACAACAAACTCTAAATGTTATGGCTATTTTAAGCATATTTTTCTTAAAAAACTTAGTATATTGATAGAGTAATAGACAGTCCGAATTTCCTACTGTTGTGATCATTGTTAGTTTACATAATTCATCATCTTTTATCTGTTGTTGTCTTAATTATTGCTGCATTTATTTTTTTTCTCTGTTGCATAAAATTAATCAGACTAATATGACTCATGTTGCTTTAGCAACATTATGGGTCCAGTCCAAAGGCTATTAAAGTCAAAGGTACTCCTCATTGACTTAGTGAGCTTTGGATAAAGTTCATTGTTTTCATGCTCTTTCCATCTCTGCAGTACCAGACAACTGAAATAACTGTTCCAAATACCAGTGTCTTTTGATACTTTGCATTTCTGTTCTGAGAAAATATCCAAGCAAATATGAATGTAACCAAAGTAAATTCTCTCCCTCTGAATACAGAATGACTATTTAACTAGATTTAATATTTTGATACCCAGTACAAAGTTTCACCCTCTGTCCCTTTCCTTTGCATACAGGTGATGGCTTTAGAAGGTCATACTGTCTGTTAGGGTTGGAAGAAAAAAAGAAAAGAGTTATTTAGTCTGGTTGAAAATACTTCTGCTTTATGAGAAGGTTCTGGAGGACTTTTGTTTTGCATGTTGACGGTGTTTGTAAGTTTGCCTGTAACCCTGGTGTTGAAACTGAGTCTTAATCTGTGTTCAGTTTTAGTGTTGTTGGATCCCCACTTCTCTCTTCCTCATTCCTAACAGTTCTTATAGTTTATACATTCTTAAGTTGTCTGTCTAGGTTGCAGTGCTCTGCTTGCAAGTCTAATGGTTGATGTGTTTCATGTGTGTTTCTGCCTTGGGAACTGTGGCAGTGGCTGTAAGAAGTATTTCTAAACATCAGCATTGTAACACAACACATTTTTTAATTTCATGGGTTCACAGTGAGCAAACCAAAGCAAGAAGTTCTCCTATATTTCCTATTGTCTACCTTTTGTCTTTTCCTTGAGAGTTTTAATAAGTTGATTTAAACCTACTTGTGTCTTTCTGTGAAACTGGGAAAAGCAATTGAGAAGTTTGTGCTGTCTGCTCTCCTCCTCTTTCTTAATGTTCTTACCAGAGTCATCTTTTAAGCAAATGTTCATGCTTCGTTCTTTCCTCAGGATCAGGGATTTCTGGTGGGTTACAGATTCTTTGGATTTCTGAAATCAGGGAAGAATAAATTTTACTCCAAAAGAACTAGTTCAGATACTGTAAATACTTCAGTGGCCTTACAGCAGATCTCTAGAGTTTTTCCTTTTGTTTAGGGCTATTGCAGGCACCCAGATATTTCACACCATTATTGGACTTTTCTTTGGTGAAAAACAGATGCTTCTTGTATTTATGTGGCCCTCTGTTTTAAAATATTGTACTGCCAGCTGTTGAGATACATATAGTATATACTTGAACTTATAAAAATGCCACAAAATCATTAACAGCATCATCTGAAGAAAAAGAAATTGTGAGCATATCTTGCTTGAGCCAACATAACAGAGTGGGCAGTTTAGGTGTTTACAGAAATGTGTACCTTGTGTGACAGAAACAAAAAACGACAGGATAGAAGTCCCTGCAAATCTAAATCTTAATTTGTTTTGTTCTGCTTTAGCTTGTGGCCGTGGGTTCTACAAATCCTCCTCACAAGATCTGCAGTGCTCCCGCTGCCCTACTCACAGCTTCTCTGACAAGGAAGGATCTTCCAGATGCGACTGTGAAGATAGCTATTATAGAGCACCTTCTGATCCACCATATGTCGCATGCACAAGTGAGTGACTCATGAATTTAATAGTAAAGGACGTTGCTTAACCAACCAGGTGCAGCCACTTGCAGCGAGTAGTTTTGTCTGGCTTTTCCTGGGTTTGAAAAGTACATTTGCAATGGTAAAAGAAACTGAAAGGCAGAAAAAGGGTTGACAGTGAATTCAGAATCAGCATAAATATAATTTTCAAGTTTGCTTGGTACAGCTTTGGAAAACATTGCATGTTGCATAAGTGCATAACTCACCATAATAGATATAATACAGGCCCGGTTCTCCCTAAATTGTTGCAGACAATATGCGTTATGTGATATAATACCAAAATTAGTAATGTGAAAAATGAAAAGTAGCCTCTGTGGAGCTGCACTTTGATTGAACTGTAATTGGATCTGACTTAAACTTCTAACTGCAAATAGATTGGCTGACACAGATTGGTGGTTCAAATAGTGGAAGCCTCTTAAATTCAAAATATCACTAAATATCTCTGTAAATCATATCAGAGCTGATAACAAAAGACTAGATGCAGCTTGTGCAGCATGTTTAGAAGAGATGAACAAGCCCCATATGTGGAAAACCTGTAAAAGAGAACTTTTAAGGTATATTAACTATTCCTTTTAATTATGCAGAAGAGAAACAGCTAAAAATCAGTTGCAGTAAATACACTGACAGTTGTTGTTCTGATGTCTTAATGGAAAATAAATAAAGCTCTTACCAAATGAGTTCAAGAACGCTTTTATGCAGCCTGTACTAAAAATAACGAAATGTTTATATGAAGAAAAATGCTTCAAGTGTTTTCTATCTCAGTAATTAAAATGCTACCTGTGTGTCCCACTGTGGTTTTGTGTAATTACCCTGGACTTCTTTGTGTATTATGTAGGACCTCCATCTGCACCACAGAACCTAATTTTCAATATCAACCAGACTACCGTGAGTTTGGAGTGGAGTCCTCCCGCTGACAACGGGGGAAGAAGTGATGTGACCTACCGCATTTTGTGCAAGAGGTGCAGCTGGGAGCAGGGCGAGTGCGTTCCCTGTGGGAGTAACATTGGATATATGCCCCAGCAAACTGGATTAGTAGATAACTATGTCACTGTCATGGACCTGCTAGCTCACGCTAACTACACGTTTGAAGTTGAAGCTGTGAATGGGGTTTCTGACTTGAGCCGTTCCCAGAGGCTTTTTGCAGCTGTCAGTATTACCACCGGCCAAGCAGGTAAGTTTTCATCACTTATGAATCTCAGCACTGTGAGACTGAGAGAAATTTGGAACATGCAAACTATAGATGCAGTAAATCAGGAGCATGTTTAGTGTGCTTTGGCTCATTAATCTTTTCGTCCTGCCAGCTATTTAATTTGAGCTTATGCTATTTCAGGATAACCTGTCCTGTTTCTTGGCCTCAGGATTGCTTTCAGAAAGCATTCACAGAAGACTTAAAGAAGACATGCAGCTTTGTGATTAAATAGAGTTTCTAAACCTAGGAAGATTTTCTTTTATTTTGTTCTCACTTCATTATGGTTAATTCCCTAGTAATTGAAGATAAAAAAAATGTATGTGAGAGATCTATGCAGACTTCCTTTTTGAATTTTTAAAACATGTATGGGACTCCTGGGTCACTGGAAGATGATTTGGATTTCTGATGGTGTTTTCAGTGTTAATGTTTGCCCTCAGGACAATATTTCTGATTTATCTTATATTTCCAGATATTTGATTATGAGATGCAATGAGAATGTGATGATTATTCTTTGTTTCTTCTATTTATCATAATCTGACAGGTGAAATGTCAGGGGAAATAAAATCAAACCAGCATATCGCCCCAGGGAGAAAAAGGGCTTTAGTTGTCTGCATCTGAACAAGAAAAAAAAAAAAAAAAAAAGAATTTTCAGATTTAGGTTTCTGAACTGGCCAGTTGCTTTTTGATAAAATTACAGACAATAGTATGCTGTGTTCCTAAAGAGAGGATAGTAAAGCTAACTTTTTGTAATTTTAACAATCTTAAACAAAATATTGTTTGCAAGATCTGGCTTTCAGAGAAATATTAAATAGTATTTTTACTATTACTTTTAATAGTAAAAGAAAATATTAAGTGAATAACTAATGTGATTCTTCCTGTAAGAACAGCTGACTAATATTTTAAAGGATATTTAAGGATATTTCATACTTATGTCTTGGAGGAAATTTCAATGACTGTGAATCATGGATTTGTTTTTTTTAGTGCAGTAGAAATGATCCCCTAAAGTAATGTGTTCAATGGAGAACAAACTCACCAAACAGGGTAAACAAACAATAAAAACTGTAATTATTTTGTACGTTAAAGATAATAATCTCAAAAAAAAAATAAGGGACAAGAGATTTAGTTCAAAACCTTCCTTCCTTTCCCCCAAATTTAGGATAGTTGATATGTTTGTTGAAGTTTGGCTGGAGTGTTTAATCTCCCTGTAGTGCTTTTATGGATTCCAAGAGCACATTTTACATTATTTTGGAGCCATCTCTGTGGCTCAAAGGATTGGTCTCTGTGTTCATTCAGTTCTTGAAGTTTATGATGAGATTTTCAGCACAGAAAACTTACTCTGAGACTATTTTTGTACCACAGATGATATTATTTTGGCACCATGATTTTTCATCTTCAAAATAATTCTCCAAACATGCACAGGTGGACAGTGTTCTGCTCTCTGTAGATGACTGTACAGAACTATCACATGAAGAAGGGGATTTGGACTTTTTCCTATTTAGCTGAATCAAATTGGCTTTACTTTATGTGCTTTGATGGTTCAGTGGCACACAGGGTAAAGGAAGAACAGTGCAATTTAGTGGCTAGTACCACATCTCAAGAAGATGAAGAAGCCTTTATCAAAAGTTTGTTGTATTTTCTCCAAGACAGCTCATTATTGTTCATCATTTTGTGTGGTCATAGTCAAGGATTTAAAGGCTTTTATTAGGCCAGAAGCTATAATATGGTTATCCTGTTCTGTCTTAAACGTAACACAAGCCATGTGATTTTATGAAATGATCCTCAAATCAAGCCCAGAGGTGTTAGTGAAACTATAGCTTGCATATATATTTGAGGCAGCATCTAGACTTTACTAAAGATGTAATCAAAAATCTTCAACATCCTAGGCAAGCTTTGTAAGACCATGAAGCAGGAGATCTGACTCTGTTCCTTCCCTACTCTCTAGTTTCCTGTGGGATTACACACAGACCAGCATTTCCCAGGATTTGACACTGTTTAGAGAAAGGGTATGACTGAAGCTTTGCCTGTTTAGCAGTTCTGAATATAAAGATTTAGAGGCTTCCAATTTGGCATCTAAAATAAATATACGTGGGGGACAGATTTTGGAAAAAAAAAATGGCTTTAAGCTTTTCTTGTTGCAGTTTTCTCTGTAAAAGGAAGGTAACCTTCATTTTTCCTTACTAAGCTTTTCAAGATTTTCTGATTAGAAGTGCCACATAAATGCAGCTTTTTTTTTTTTTTTCACAGAATCACAAAATTTGTGTTAAAGAAAATACAGACGTTCAGAACAAATGCATTTAGCAAAAGACCTTTTCTACATTATTTTTGCAACAGCATGTTTTGGATCCTAATACTGATTTCTTTGGTTTCTCAAGGAGGAAAATATTTTAGGTGGAACAGATTGATGACTATAATTGAACAGAAAGAGACTGGTTGCTCAAAGGAAACTGTTATGCTTCTGTGTTTCTCTTTTATTTTACTATAGAGAGAAAGAAAATGTTGGATTTATTTATAGCCAAGTAAACTAGGATTCATGCAGCTCTCATTTGTTCCTGTGTGACTGTTCTGTACTTCTGGAAAAACTGACTTTTTCTGTGCCCATATTGCTTTTTATGTGTGTAAATGTGTCTAACTAAACCTTCTTCACATGTTATTATGCTAACACAATAGGTGGCTATATATAATTACTGGGTTCACCAGTTGCACAGAGGATTGCAATGAGATTTTCCCTTTGTAGTTTTGGTTTAATTGAATTGCTCCTTTGTGTCCATAGTCCCAAAATTCAAATCATTGTGTAATGATAACAGGAAATTATTGATAAAAGAATGGGGTTATAGAATACATTCAGCGTTTCTTCGCCCACATATAACAAGCTTCTGATGAGACAAAGAGAGCATGCCACATAAAAGAGCCAGGTGGTGATAAAAACCTATTTATATTTGTGGAAATAATACAATAAAATGACTGCAAGTGGGTAGGTATCATTTCACATCACTTAAATATATATTTATATATATACACGTATGACACATTGCTGTTCATTCCTCGTTTTAAAAAGACTTTGTGACTAGGCTATCAATTGTCATGTGGTTTATTTTTATGCTTCAGCCAAGAACCATGAGGCTTTTGGTTTTGCTTTGTTTTCTTTTTTTTTTGACAAGATTAAGTACACAAAGTCCCCCAGGAGTAAACCATCTTTGTTTCATATCTTGCCTATCCTGCATCATATAAAGAATACAGGATGTCATCCCAGTACTGCAAGCTGATCTATGAGAACGCCTGCATCCTTGTAGAATTCAGATTTGAATGTGGCTAAGCTCTAGTTACAATTAACAAACAAAGAGCTGCACCTGGCAAGCAGCTGACAAGCCCTACCTTTGCAAGAATGGGTTTTAACAAAGATAAAATTGACCACTTCCCTGATAAAATATTCCCCTTTCAGTTGTACTGGTAGTTCCTTTGGATCCATCAAATTCCTTACCAAATTTTACATTTTTTTCCATACAACACCCAGAAGGTGAATGGAAATTGGGTAAGTTTCACTGCAGATGAATATTCATTGTATTTTGGCATTCATGCATTTTCACTTTACAAAATATGCTTCAATGACAATTTTATAGCTTTTCTGTTGACATTTTTGCAAAGGTAGTGTGTTTTAAAACTGTCTTTCTGCATCCTTTCCCCTCGGATGTTTCTGAATTAACAATGGCCTCATGTCTGGAAAAGTTATATACACCCAACCTACCCTGGCCTTGATAAAACTTAGGTTATTTTGAATGAATACCAAAATTTATCAGGGTTTGAGAAAATTCAAGTATGTGTCCTGAGCCAGTTTAAATTGTCTTTATAGTAATTGAAAAGAAAAAATCACATCCAAGGGGACCCTCATCATGCCTCAATACCGTAACTAAGTAAGACAAACAGAAGTTAAAATGTAATGCCAATAACTGTCCCGAAATGTACTCATGGCTCTTGGACAGGGCGCACTTGCTAATGCTTGCTGCTTCTTCACAGCAGGAGAAAGGTGCCCCACAGCACTCTTAGGTCATGCTGTGCCTTCAGATGCACTCAATGCTGACAACCTCAAGTGGTTAAAAAACCCTGATCCAGTTCCATAATCAAGGCTTACTCTTGAAAAACATTGTTTTTTAGTAACAATTTCCTTTGTATATGTTGATTTGCTGCAATTCCATTTTTACTTCTTAGAGTTCAGTTTTAAGACCTTTTCCTACAAAAGAAGCAGATTCCAAATTTCACAGTTAAAGTTTAAAAAAAAAGGAAGCTGAATTTGTCAAATTGGCATTAACCCAGCAACTTGAACTGAAAAAAATATTGCATGCTATAAAATCATGACTATTATCAGCAGCACCGTTGATTTACATGACAAGAAGAAATGGCTGAATGCATAAATGCAAATATATGGGATGGGTTCTGCCTTTCTTAGGTAATTCTGAAGTCTCTCTAAGTAAGAGAGACACTTCACATTCTGTCATGTTACATTCTCCTTTCATTCTTGCTGCTTATAATTTTTCTTTTCTTTGTTTCGTTACTCTTTTTCCCAGCTCTCAATTAACCCTACTCATTTTTTAAAGTCTCTTCTTTCATAGCCTCTGCACTACTGACCATCTATTTGTTTCCTGTTCCTGTCAGTCTCACTTAAGCCTGACTTTTCTTCAGCAATGAACTGTCCCCCAGCAGAGGCAGCAATCAAGAAGCTTGGTGCCTGCAGCTTTCCCAGTCACTATGAGCTCAGTGTTCTAGTCCTATTCTCACTTCCCGCCTTTCACCAGGCCATTTTGGTTCCTTCCCACAGTGCCATCAAGTTGTTTTAATCTACCTTCATCTACATCTTCCATCCAATGTTCACTTCTGGTGCTTCATGACAGCTTATTACAAATAGTTTCAGAGTTCAACTTAGCATTTCTTCAATGTTTTCCCATTTCAGTGGACTTAATTTAGCTATAGGTTCCCTTGGCTATTTCCTG